GGCGCAGGTGCAGCGGTGCGGGGTCGGAGCGGGGCTTCGGCCTGCGTATCGGCCATTTTCTTTTGCCCTGTGGTTGCGATCTCTCTGGGTTAAAAGGGGCTTGCCTTTGGTTGTGTCATTAATGTTTGAATATTTTTAATATTTAAAACTGGCTGATGAATGCTCACATTTTAGGAGATAGATGTGTATGTAGCACACAGGAGTGCTGGAGTTGGTGGCATTCCAAGTAAGTGTCACCGGGTTTGGTTCCGGGCAAGGGCATGTACCTTGGTTGCAGGCACATTCCCTGTAGGGGTGGTGCAGGAGGCAGCTGATCGATGTTTCTAACTCTCTAGCCCTCTCCTTTCCTCTCTGTGAAAACCAGGTAAGTGTCACCGGAGACAGTGCATCAGGTTTGCACGTCAGGTGCGAAGTGCTGAGGCTCCCTCAGACCCCAGGTTCGTTCGGAGGCAGGCTCAGCCCTCCCGTCCTCCCGGCGGAAAGGAACGTGCGCTCCGGAGATGGCAGTGCGCACGCCACTGTCGGAGAGCAGAATGCGCAGGAAGCAGCTCTTCCGCGAGGACTGTCAGCAACCCCGATCTCCTCACCGGGGATTACTTATCCTGCAGGGCATTTAACGGCGCATAGCTCATCGCAGCGAGCCCGAGCGCAGTGTTCCATCGATTTATACGTTACAGATCCGGGTCTCAAACACAATCCCTCTCAGTTGGCCAATCGTCTTGGATGCAAAGGTGTTTTCAACCTGAAGTCCTCCTTTTCCTCCCCCGGGGTGGCTGATGGTCAGTCCAGCAGAGCCATCGCCAAGGCCAGAATTTACTCCTGTCCACCTCAGTTTCACCTCTAGCTTTTAAGGGATAAACAGTGAAAATTATCAAATTTCCCTAAAATCGTGGAGGTGATGGTGGCAGAGTTTTATTTTGCTTTTAGGAAGCGGGGGCAAAAGACAAGGTGACAGGAATAGCGCAGTAAGGAGCTCCGCTGCTGCTGTCTTCTCAGTTCACCGTCTTTATTTTTATGGAACCAGCCTCTGGTAACGAGGAGCACTCATTAAGCATCTCCAGATGCGGGAGGAGGAGAGAGGAAAGCCGGTGCCACGTTTACCGTGGTCTCCACAGCAAGTGGCCTCCGCGGCGCGGCAGGAGCTCTGCACCAGGCTCCCCGGCCTGCTGCTCCCCCACAACACGCAGTCCAGTTCCTGTTGCCGTTTCACGGCTTTGACATTGAGGCGGAAGCTTTGGCCTGGATTTATGTCATTTACTTGGGCACAAGTATAACCCATGAATGATCACATTCACCTCCTAATTAGAAAATCAAACGATAGTACAGGACAGGCTGCAGGCACCCCATCATTTCATCCAACAAAAGCACGTTGTGTGTGCTGGGCCTTGTGGGGAAAAAGGCTGTTGGATTGCTTCATGAAGTTAATGAAAAGTGTTCAACAGCAGGGGAAGGCAAGATGCAGATCGAGTGCACTGCCGGGGTATTTAGCGTGCTGACACCTTTGCACTGGGGGGAAGATTTTGGGGAAATCTATGTATAAATCGTAGGGCTTATGAAATTCTAGATTGGACAGGCCTTCACCGCCCTGTTACAGTGCTCGCTTCGATGAGTAGCCGAAGGAATTCGTGGCAGGAGAGAGGTTTTCCGATGTGCACACTTGCATGTAGCTGCTTAGCTGGGTCTCCTTCTTATTCAGCACATTATGTGGAAGCTGTTAGTTTGGATGCTTTATATTTTTGCATCTGGTGTAGTGATGATATCGATGCTGTTAAATATGTGATTTGCCTGTCGCCTGCATTTTCAGACAAAGATCAAGAGGAGCGTAAACAAGCCCCAGATATACTTTATGTAGGTGTTTGGCAGTATTATTTTATATGGCTGGGAATTAGTGAATGGGAACTTTAAAAGAAATTGTTCATATTTTTGCAAGTTTGAAGTGTGCCGGGACTTTGTCAAATTCCCGTTAAAATAAATACGTCAATTTCATCTCCCTTCCAAATTCATTTATCTTGCTTTTTTAAAAGGTGTTTTCTACTTTACCTGATGTTTAAATTGGATTCGCTCGTTTATGCTGTTCTTTGCTATATCCCCCACGTTTTTCTTAAATGAATTACTAATGACAGAGCACTCCATCATCCCCTCTCTACAGCCACTTTAAGGAAAGCATGGTGATCTAAACCTTTTAACCTATTAAAGATGATTTTTCCCAATTGAATCAGACCCACCACAGGTGTAATAACTAATCATTTAAACTACACCTGCTATTATGTATTTTTAAGCCATTATGCGTGTTGGATAGATGATAATTCATGTTTATTGCATTGTCCGATGGATCCGTTTTGCCTACACTAGGCTGATTAATGTATTTAAAGAAATAAGAGATGCAATTTTTAAAAAAAAAATTGATGGAATGCGCCAAGCACTGCATTGAGTGCACCATTAAACCCATCAGAACTTTGCTCTCTGACCAGAAATGCATATACCAAGGACTATATTAAAAAAGCAAGGTGAAACCTGTGCGTTTTAGTGGTGGGATTCTGTTTCCTTTCTCTGGCATGGAAAATTTTGGAAGGATGAGAGGAAGGTGTGTGCTCATGGGTAAATGAGCGGATCTGTGCTGTTAGCATCTCCTGCCCAGGACCCCCTCTGGGCCACGCTGTCCGGCCCTGGTCCACACGCCCCAGGGAGCGGAGTCTCTGCATGGTGGGAAGGACATTTATCCCCCAGCCATCTGAGCTGTGCATGTTGGCATTGACCCTGTGGGCCGGCCCGTGCCAGTGTGACTGTCCTCTTTCCAGGGCACAGGCCTTGCTTCCTGCAGTTTTCTCCTTCCTCTCTGGCCGCCTCTCCTCCTCACCTCCCCACTTCTCCCCTTTCCTGTTTGTTTGCCTCCCCTTCTGCTCAGGCTCATCCTGTCGGAATGCCCCTACCTTCTTCTCCCCTTTCCTTTACCCCCCCCCCCCCCCCTTTCTTTCCCTTCTCCCATCTCTTTATTAAAATGCACCCATTTGGGGGATGTTCTGTCCAATTCTTGATTTTGGTGTAACCTGAGAACCTGAGGTGATGTGATTGAGGGCTGGGAGGGGTGCGTATGTAGTTTTGGGGTTCAGGACTCTTCAGCATCGGCTTTCTGTAGTCTAGAACTGGTTGGTGGTCACTGCAGCTCATGATGGTAGCTAATATGTTCGCAAATTATAACCAGTCTCAAGGAACACTAGTTTTCCTTTCACTCACAGGCCCAAACCTTAAAAACTGGGATCTCTGAGTTCATCCTTTGGGGAGAATGTGTTAAGGAAATATATAAGGAATTGTGGCTTTTTGTTTTTCTTTTTGATTTATCCTCATGTTTTGTCATCAACGAAGTCTGTCTGGTCTCAAGATTTAAATTCATATAAAATATGAAGAGAATATTTGTAATTTGTATTCCCCTTGTAGTCACAGTACTTTGTTTGAATCTCTGTATGACTGCTGCTCTTGGTCTGAAGGATCTTAGAAAACTTTCTTATATTTGGCCCCTTGGAAATTTTTCTCTCTCAGCAGCTTATGAGTGGACTGCAGGCCTGTTGCCTTTCCTGTAACAGGAGACTGTGTTATTCTTTTGGTTTTGATGAGAAGAAACATGGCAGTCATTTAAAACAGCCCTTCCCTACCTGGGCAGGGTCCCGCTGCAATGCTGGCGTCCGGGGTGGAGAGCAGCCGGGCTGCGTGCAGTCACGCTCAGTGTGCGCGGAGGGATGCGGAGGTGATGCCTCCAGCCCTTCTTCCGTCCTCTGCGTGGCTCGTTCACAGACGTGGAGATTCCTAACTGTCATGCCAAGTGGATGGAGAATCTGCCAGTCTGTCAGCGTTAGCCATGAAACCCCAAACTCTGTCCTTGGAAGTCTTTTCAGAATCGAGCACCATTACACGAGGGGACGGGCTGAAGGCTGTGCGTGCTGCCTCCTAGGTGCTCACCCAGCGGATGCCCCGCACTTTGCTGGGCAGTGGAGTCTCTTCATGCAGGTTTTTTTTCTTTCTTCTTTTTTTAAAATATATTTTATTGATTTTTTTACAGAGAGGAAGGGAGAGGGATAGAGAGTTAGAAACATCGATGAGAGAGAATCATCGATCAGCTGCCTTCCGCACCCCCCCCCCCCCCCCCCCACTGGGGATGTGCCCGCAACCAAGATACATGACATGCCCTTGACTGGAATCAAACCTGGGACCTTTCAGTCCGCAGGCCGACACTCTCTCCACTGAGCCACACCGTTTGGGGAGGCAGCCTGGACATTAGGAGGCAGGCAGTCATGTCTCTGACATGCAGTACGCATGACAGGCACTGAGGAGGCTGAGAGAACAGGGAGAGCAGAGATGGCTGGCTGATGGAGGGAGGCTGTAAGGCTGAAAAGGGCCAGGCTGGGCTGGGTGAGGAATGGCCAGACAAGTAGAGGCAGAAAGGGAGACCTTCTAGCGACGTGGGTGCGCGTGGCCAGGAGAGAGCTGCCTGCCCAGGAGGGCGAAGAGTCCGCTTGAACTGGGAGAACAGGAGGAGACTGGCAGGTCTTCATGCTGGGCTGAGGGGATTAGATTTGATGGAATCAGATCCAGGAAACCAGTGAAGGCAGGGCACTGACACACGTTTTGCTCAGAGAGATTTTATTTTATTTTATTTATTTTTTAAAATATATTTTATTGATTTTATACAGAGAGGAAGGGAGAGAGATAGAGAGCTAGAAACATCGATGAGAGAGAGTCATCGATCAGCTGCCTCTTGCACACTCCCCACTGGGGATGTGCCCGCAGCTAAGGTACATGCCCTTGACCGGAATCAAACCCGGGCCCTTTCAGTCCCCAAGCCAACGCTCTATCCATTGAGCCAAACCGGTCCCGGCTCAGAGAGATTTTAAATGTGACCCCAGTGGTGTGTTACTTCTGTGGACACGGGATACACTTACATAGGGTTTTTATTCTTGAAATCCAGGCTATTGAAGTTTATACTCTTCTTCTCTGTCTCCCACCAGATTGCAACCGCAGTGAAGTTTCTCCAGAACTCCCGCGTCCGCCAGAGCCCCCTCGCCACCAGGAGAGCGTTCCTGAGGAAGAAAGGTACGGCTCCTGTGGATGAAGGGTCTCTAATTGTCCCACTAAAGGGGGGGTGGGAATGAGGGGCCGCCAGGGGGGCAATGCTGGCTTTTTCCTAATGGTGGAGCAGAGATGATCTAATTCGGATAATTGAGCTCCAAATATAAGGCCAACAGCGCAGCCCAGGACGGCCTGGCACAGCGGCATTCAGCGGCCCCTCGGACAAGACCTGCTTCCCACACTGGCCCTGGCTTCAGATTAGCTCCTGTAGTGAAGAATGAGGAAGGAAAAAAAAAAAAAAGAAGGAAAAGGGAAGTGAGATGAATAAACAAGGTCAGGTTAAGGTCAAGCTTGGGGTCTGATTTACTGACTAAAGTGGTGAATACTGGTTTGGTGGTATTTCTGTAGGCATGGAGTAAATGAGTCTTGACCAATTCAGTATTGTCCGAAGCACACAGACTCTATTCTGGCTCTCTTGAAGTTCAGGATATTTTTCTTCTTGTTAAAAAAAAACAACAACAAAAAAACACCACAAAAAACACCACAAAAAAACCCCAAAACCCCCAAACAAACCCAATTTTTCATTTTTTTTTCTAGAAAGCTCTCATAACCATGAGGGGGGAAAGGGAGATCCCCCCTCCCTCCGCCCTGCCCCGCCTCACACCACCACCAGAAGTCTCTTTACTTTAAGAGCTGGAATGCCAGCCTCAGAATTCTGGGTTTTGAACTCTAAGTCATTTGTGGCTGGAAAAGCAGGTGGAGTGGTTTGGTGGTATTTCCTAGGTCTGCTCCACGGCATCCCACTGAGGTGACTGCCGGACGGGGCTCGCGGGCCAGGGCCAGGGCGCCCAGGCGTTGCATTCACAGCAGCGATGCTGGGAGGATGCCTCATCCCAGTCCCCGGGCCTGAGCTGCAGAGGGGCGCTGTGTGCTCGCTGGCGGCATCCCACTCGCCCCCATCAGCAGGAGATTATTAAAATTGGGAGTGCGCTGGCTGGCCTCTCCGCTCCACAACCATCATGCCATAAAAGAGTTTTTCCTTGAAATATGTGTACCTATGGGGAGTAATTAATCATAAAAGCTTGGGGGTTTCAGCTCTCTCATCACAGCATCGAAGCTGGGGAAAGCTGAGCCTAAAAGCTGTGTTGATTACCCGGGGTAACCTGAGACAAAATCTATGGTTGCCGAGAGAGCCTGCGCCCCAGTATATTGTGCAATATTATAACTGCCTGATCTTCTCTTCCACTGACAATGACCAGTTATTCCTCATTTTCTCTCAAACGCAGCTGGGTTAGAATTTCATTTGCAGAGGGTATTTAGAGCAATTTAGAGACAAATGTCTCTGGTGTTTGCCCGGCACTTCCCCACCGCAGGCTTTGCTGAGCAGTTTTAGTATCAGGAGCTCCATCTAATCTGTTTAATTTTAATAAATCCCTGACTGGGAGAGGGAGAGAGAAAAAAGAGAGAGAGAGAGAGAGAGGAACTCAGAACCAAATAATACTTCTTTTGAGTTAGTTGGCTAATAATCACTGTAGAGAGGAAACCATTTTGTGTAATTGTTATTTGTTGCTCCTTTTTGAACGAAAGCACAGCTGATAGATTAATTCATCTACGAGTGTTTACCCTGCACCACGCCCTGCTTTAGTCGGAGCGAGGAAACCCCTGCCCTCTCAGAGCTTCAGTTCTGCGGGGAGGCAGACAGGGAGGGAGGGAGCCACACGTGTGTGTATGGCATGGCGAGTGCCTTGGCTCATGGCTGTGGATCCTGGTGCTGGTGTAGGCGTGGGTCACACTGTGACACTGGCGGTTAGAGCATGTCCTGAGGAGATGGGTATTTGCTGACAGTGGGCTTAACCCCTTCCTGACCCCTGTGTGGGTTAGCGCGCTTAGAATTTTCTTTGGGCAGCAGAATCCCTGAGGGGCACCTTACCCTTCTTCCCCGGGCGTTTACTGCATTTAAACTCGGAGTGTCTGGACTGAAAAGATATTTGATAATTATCTCTGATAGTTATCAGTCCTTACCCATTTCTGAGCTGAATCACAATAGGGTTTGTTCTGGACAGAGACTTATAAGGTTTGATCGGCTGACTGGGGAAGAAGAGCCCCTCGTGGGTTTAAACTTCACTTTTAGAATTTCCTGCTGTTCCCAGGGTCAGGGGGCTGATCCGCATCGCTTGGCACCGCCCTGAGACTGGGGGGGGGGGGTTTTGGCAGAGGAGCAAGCTGTGCCTGTCCCTGACAGAGTGGGGAAGGAAGGGGACTTGGGCTTCGGGGCTGGGGAGGCTGTCTTCGGGGTGGGGGGACCGAGGTTCGGGGACCCTGCTCACTGCGTCTCTGGAAGGACTCGCTCCGTGGTGGGCTGGGAGCTGGCGTGAGACGAGCTCACAGCTACTGGAGTCTTGGCTTCTTGGCAAACGTCACTTCGGGGAATTGCAGCGGAGCACTGCCTTGAATTATAATCTTGACTTTCTTTTTTTTAATAAACATCTCTTTCCTGAAAAGGCAAATCCAATTTTGTTTTCTTTTAATATTATTTAATATTTAATATAGAAATTGAGATCCCTGTAGTGCATGTCAGTTGGGTGGAAAATGAGGGTAACTTTAGGCGCATCAGCTGAGTTTGTTTTATTGTGAAACTGCAGCCGGAGCGGGCTGCTTCCTGCCCCCGTTCCTGACAGGTTAGATGGATGCTCCGATTTCAGGGGCTGGGAGGCGGGGGGGGGGGGGGGGGGGGGGGTGCCGGGTGGCATAGGGATGGAAGAACGTGGTCTGTAAAGGCCTTTTGTGTTTGTGTTTTCTTATTTTTGTTTTTTGGAGATTTCTTTCGGATGCTTTAAAGTCTGAATATGGAGTCATTAATGAGAAACATGAAGTTATTAGAGTCATTGATCATTTTCTTTGAAGTTTGTACTGCCATTTTGTATAATTTGCAACATTTCTTCTATCGGGAGTTTTTTGGATGAAAGAGAAAAGCAGCTGTTCATCCTCAGAGCGTTAGAATGGATGTTCCCCCCAACCACTGGCTTCTGCTGATGACACATCGACTGCAGAGCCAGCCCATGTGCAGGGAGTGACCGCGGAGGCCTCGGGGCGTGAGCCCGCTGCTTGCAGAAGCTTCTTGCCAGACAGGCATCATCGCCCGTCTAAGCAGGCTGCGGGCCAGCTCACACACAGCATCCAATCATCCAGCGAGTCAGAGGCTTGGTCATTGTCGTCAGTAGGCTCCCTGACACCCTATCCAACCACGGAATGCAGGAGGCAGCCTGCTTCCAGCGTGTGCGGCCCGCTGAGCGGAAGGGGGGGGAAGTACTGCCTGTTGGAGGGGGGCGGGGGCGAGGCCCTGGATGAGGTGGGAGGTCGATGGCGCTGTGTGTCTGCTCACTGTGCTTTCCTCTCTCATCCTGCCTGGTGGGGCCTGCGGTGCTGCGGGCACTGCTTATGTGCCTCTCAGTGTACAGAGCTTCTCCCTCACTGAGAAATGGGGGGGGGGGGGGAGCTCCCCGCTGCGCTTCCTCATTCTAATGGTGAAACAAGACCTTATCTTTCTTCAGTTCCTGGAAGGACACCCCCCCCCCCCCCCTAGAAAACTGCCTCCTTGCTAGAAGTGAACTTGAAGAAACCTGAGGGTCTCAACCTTGGGGGGGCAGAGGACTATTTTCAGGGGATTTCAACTTTACTCTCTTTCATTACTTTTCTTTTTTATCATTTACTCCATTTCACGAGGTGGTTTGCATGTCCTTGAATGGAATCTCGTTACCATGAAAGCTTTTTTAGCATTGATTTCATAACAGTCTTAATTTAATAGCGCCGTCATTACTGAGAGGCTCCGGGAGTGGGCCCCGGCTTTCCAGGTCACTGACCTTTTAATTACAAACCGTGTTCCGATGGCCAGGTTATCGACTGGCCAGCTCCCAGCTTGTGCCCCCAGGATGAGAACGAAAATAGCTGCGTTTCCTCCCCCAGCCCCAGGAAAAAAGAGTAACCTCACGAGTCTCTGAAATTAATTTTCTCCTTCAGCAATTAATTCTTTAATGTGTCTTAGAGAAGCCAGAAGTCTTGTTGTAAGGCTGCTTTTTCTAGAGCTCGGGTCCAGCAGATAGCTCGGAGGCGCCGGGGAAGCGGACGGAGATCATGCCAGCTCCCACCCGCGCTGATCGTGGCCCACTTCCTTGTCCTTGGAAAACTCCCGCGGCTGAGCTGGAGGGAAGAGCAGTGGCCTGAGGGGTGGCCTGGCCCTCTGACTCTGTTGACAAGATGTGGGCTGCAGCATCGATTTTCTTGATTTTTCACAGAGAGGAAGAGAGAAGGATAGAGAGTTAGAAACATCGATGAGAGATAATCATCGATCAGCTGCCTCTTGCACACCTCCTACTGGGGATGTGCCCGAAACCAAGATACATGCCCTTGTCCGGAATCGAACTTGGGACCTTTCAGTCTGCAGGCCTACGCTCTATCCACTGAGCCAAACGGGTTTCCGCTATTACGGACACTTTAAAAAGATGTTCTCGTTCTGAGAAAGACAAGGGTTGGTTGGTTTTTCTTGGCATGTGTCACGGCTCTGTTTTCTCAGCTGACTGGAGGAAGCCAGTGCTCTACACGAGGAGTTCTAATCAGCTTTGAACTTGAACTGAGCAGGTTCTCCCTCTCTCACCACAAAGAGGGAGAAAACAAGGAGAGGGCAGTGGCCATTGGTTCTGGTTTGCCGAGTACTGTCCCGGTTTTAGCACCGCAATTCTTAAGTCCCGGGCAGCCCCTCAGTCCTGGGCAAACCGGCCCCCCCAGTGTACAGCCTCACTCAGCAGTGGGAGCCACAGAGACAGCGCGGGCATGTGTGTGCAAGCTGGAGGGAGGTCAGCAGTCAGTGCCCGAGAGCCCAGCTTGCAGTCGAGTGGCATCGTCCTCACACACTGCCTGCTGCCACTCCCGGCCCTGCCCTGGTTCGGGTCCAGTGCAGAGAGCTCTGGGTGGGGGGCTGTGCCCTGCAGGTGTGTGGGAGCCGCTGGTGCCAAGCAGACAGGGCGGTG